AAATCCCTTTCTGGCGGGTCTGGGACCGGGTCCAGAAAGAATTGCAATTGTGATAAAATTCAGCGTAACTAATGCCGACCACAGCAAAATGCGATAAATCGCCAACTGGGCGGTCTCTATACTCTTTATCGCGAGTCGATCTGCTTAACATATCTACTGGAATGCGCTTAGTTAGTACGAATTGCGATAGTATTAGTTGTTCATGAATTTACAAAAAAACAATAATAAGATAAAATAAAACATAAAAATAAAAGTAAATAAAAATATTAATAAAAAAGTATACATTTGTTAAATAATAAAAAAACTATAATGGTTCTTGAAAAATATTTTATTTTGTAAGAGATAATATTTGTAAATAAATATAAATAATAAAGATAATGATAGTAAATTGTTAAACAATTAAAAATTTAATATATACTTTTACTTTTGTAAGTGTGTAAATATTTATTTGCATATATTCTTCTTAAAAAATTTAATCGAATTTTTAGACACAATTAATATTTAATTTTATTTATTTCCTTTGGCTCATAAATTTTGGAAAATCTTAAAAAAGGAAAGTGTTTTTCTTCAAAAAAAAAAGTTAAATACAAAAAAATTTTTGTATTATTTATTCATTAATTTAAATATTTTGTTTGCCACAAAATGTAATGTCCTTTTCATCAAAGAGTATTAATTATTCGTTTTAAGCATTAACATAAACCGTGGCCTTTCATGTTTATTTTTTCAGCTTTTGTCGGAACTGTTTTGGGGTGTCGCCTTCTGTGGTCGTCATGGACGGTTTGCTCGCGGCTAAAGTTTGGCGACTTTTCTTCTTTTATTTTAATTTTTATATATATATATATTTTTTTTTTTGTCTTTTTTCGTTTTTGGTTTGCTGCTGGCCGAGTGTCGCTTTCTATGTACATTTTTATAGCATTGGCTCTTGTTCTGCGGCTGTATGAGAGATTCAGTTGCTGGAAATGATAATTTTCACTTGAGCGCGCACGTGAAAATGGAGGTTGGTGGTGCGACCGCCCGATGTGGTTTAGCTCTGCTATAAATTGCCAATTAATGACAGAGCAGCACTGCGGTGGGTTCCATTTGCATTTTGCTTCGCATTGCTTCAAAAACATGCATAAACATACAAATATCTATACATCTATATCTATATATATAATGCGATTTTCCATTGCGATCCAATACTCTCTGAATTTGCTCTTATTTTCTATTTTTTTGTTTTTGTTCTATCGGCTTTTCGCCCACGCGATGCATGCTTAATTTTTGGCGCATTCTCTTAGCCAGTTTTTGTTTTGCCTGTCACGCTTCACTGAGCCAGCGAGTCGCCATTTTGTTTTGGATTGTCCGGCGCTGCATTCAAATGCAGTCAAGGCGCCCAAGCTAACCACGCCCCCACAACACGCTATGCGCCTTATCCGGTCAAGCGTCCTGCTAAATTCGTTGCGGTTTTCGTGGTTTTCCTCGTTGTGCTTGCCATTGGGTTTCGGCCAAAATAAATAGAGAGCGCGCAGCGGTGCAAAATTTAGTTCAATTTGAAAATTGCACAAAAAAAAAAGCACTGTCAATGAATAATTGAGCTTGTGGTGTTTGAATGTATGAATGCACTCATTGAATGTGCCATTCAAGCTACGCCAATGTCAATTTATAGCTCACTTTTGTTCATTAAATAATTGAAACATCATTGGTGTTATTAGAGCAATTGTATTATCGATACATAGATGCATAGATACACAGATTCATAGATACACAGATACATAGATACATAGATACATATATACATATATACATAGATACATAGATACATAGATACATAGATATATAGATATATAGATATATAGATATATAGATATATATATATATAGATATATATATATATAGATATATAGATATATAGATATATAGATATATAGATTCATAGATACATAGATACATAGATACATAGATACATAGATACATAGATATATAGATATATAGATATATAGATATATAGATATATAGATATATAGATATATAGATATAATTCTCTCCCCCACCAAATTCGTTCGTTTTTCCAGCTTTCACTTGATTTTTACTTCTTTCCTTCGGCTGCTCGTTCCACCAGTTCAGCGAATCCAATGAGTAAATGCAATGCATTCGCATTAATCGTGGCTAATGTCAGTTTTTATCACTGCATTTGCAGATAATACTAATCACATTTATTTATCATCGGCGATTATTATTGCTATGGCTAAATGTATGTGTGTGTGTGTGTGTGTGTGAGCGTGGCGCAGACATATAAATTATATGCATATTCGGACTATAATATAACGCATACGACGGCCATGGGCCATGGCGATGCGAGCTATCTAAATATACATAAAACAGTCTAGGCAAATGCTAAACAAATAGCTACATCGACAGCAACAGGAACAACAACAATAACAATAGCAACAATAGCTTAGTTATGTTCAGTGCATAAACATGGCATAATATTAGGTGCCATCCACACAAACACAACAACTACAACAGCAGCAACAACAACCAAAGTAACAGCAATAACAACAAATTACATTTATTTTTTCACACAACGAAAATGTTGGCTTATGGCCGGGCGTTAAGATAAGCACAGCGGCCAGTCGATTGGAGTATATTCAGTCTATGCATATCGAATATATTCCCAAATTTATTTGTATATTTATATATGCATGTATTCGCTGTGCATAAATAAAACAGCAAATTAAAGCAGTCTGCAACGCCTCGTCCACGATTCAATTGCATTTTTGTCGCTGTTTTTTTTTTTTTTTTTTCCTTTCAGCAGAATCGCTTGTTCTGCAAGTTTGGCTGCTGCGACAGGTGATTGTGTTCCAGAAAATAACAGCACTCTGAATTCGCTAAAGAAATGACAATTGATGTAAAGCGTATGTGTGTGTGGGTTTTTCTTTTTTTTTTTATTTAAAAAAGGAATTCACTAGGCGATGTAAGCTGAATTTAATTACTAAACTAAGTGGGTGATCAAGCAGGAGTAGTAATAGTTCTTAGCATTTAAAAAATAAATTATTTAATAAAATTTATTTTTATAGGCCTAAACTAAGCCTAAACCTTAACTAAAACAACACAATATAACAATAATTAAATAAAATGAAAATATTGCAATATTATATATTAAAAAATATATATTAAAATATATATATTTAAAAATATTCAAATGAAAAATAATAATACACAATCTAACTGCTCAGTGAAAATTTACGACAATCTCACCAACACAATTTTTATTTACAATACTTCATCCGATTTCTGTATCTTATTTATTTACTTTTTTATAACACTTAACTCAAATACTTTACTGAGTTGTGTTGCATTTCTTCTGAAAATTAACTGGAAATAAAATGTTTATTTATACAAACTATCAATAAATTTGTTTACTTAGGATACAGATATTGATTTCGATTGAAATTTGCCGAGATCTTTGTGTTTATATCTTATGCAATTCTTGAACAACTTTGTTTACATTGCAATCCGATATCACATAAAAATAAGTGATATACGTAAGCCGCGCTGAATAAGTTTTCTCTTTTCACATTGATTATCAATATATAGTTTGCCAACGGCTAAATTAAACTGCATAAAAAACTTAATTCTATACTAAAAAAAAAAAAAATATATGTAAATACTATAGAAAATAAAAGAGTTTATTTTTTATAAAAATATAAAAAAATATTAATTGCATTATATTGTCGCTTCGGCACGCACGCATGTTGCGAATGCAACACGAAACATTGGAAAATGCAAATATCAAACCGATGATAAAAGATTTTCAAAGTTAACAAGAGTTCATATCGCATAACGTCATAATTTGCAATTGGTCATTTTAACGGGAACTTTTTTTCGCATTGTTTTCGCCGCTTCTGTTCAAATAAAAACATTAAAAGTAATTTATAAATTAAATAAATGAATCTGTCTGTCATGCCTACGAATAACTGCTCTGTCAGCGCCGCTTCCCCCCTGACACTGCCCCTGCCCCTGCCCCTGCAGTTAGTTGCATTAACACCCAGTGCCAACCTTTAATAACCATTTGCGTCACAATTGAGCTGCATTGCGTGCCCCGGCCGAAGAGCGAGGAATTAAAATTAGTTTATTTGAATGCATTGGATGACCCTCCCCGACTCTTCCAATGGATATTGGCCATTGCCAATCTGCATAGCCAGCTCTAGTCCCACTCGCCGCCCTCTCTACGGCCATGCCCATCTGCAAGTGCAGTGCTTTAATTGTGCACTGTGTGCATTGCTCATACGCCGCATAGCCCTGCCGGCAATTGGAGCATCAGTCGCTCTCTGTTTATCGCCTGCATTGTTTGCCATTTGGTCATGGTCTCCAGTTCAGCAACCCATTGCGACTGCCCCATTCCCCCACCCTCGCCACTGCCCGACCGGGCCTATTATTATGCCGCTGCTGTCTGTGACAATATTTTACGGTTTGTTTGATTTACTGTTTATTTATTGTTATTATTGAGTTGAGATTTTTCTGTTGGCCGGGCCGTGCCGGGCTGGCAACACGTTTCACGAAATGCACACAACAAAATTGCAGTTTTAATAAAGATTTCCCCAAAAATAAAGAAAAACGAAAAACGGAAATTATTCTATATTATTTGATTCCATTTGAGTAAAATTTAAAAGTAAATTATGTGCATAGCAGTTTTTGAAAGGCTGTTAAAAGGATTTTCTGTTCAAAATAAACAGTTTATATTCGAAAAAAATATATTTTAGACAATACAGTCAAATAAATGGCGTGCATGTGGAGTCTCTGGGATCGTTGCATTTGATTAATAGCCAAGTAAATAAATTATGGCAGTTTATTTAGCCAACGCGTTACCAATGCCAGACCATAAAAAATAATATATGGCCTATAAAAAGAGCCCATAAATTGTGCAAACTTGTCAAAATCAAAAGCGCGGAAATGTCACATTACATTGTGGGAAAGGCCGAAGTCTCACGACAAACTATGCGAAACATACACAATGTCAGTCCGCCCCCCTCAGCCACCCCTCGGTGATGTTAACTAAACAAATTGCCAATGCACTTCCGATCGCTTGAAGTACCCAACGAGTTATCAGTGACAATATTTTATTTGTTTATTTGTTTTTTTTTTTTTTTTTTACATTTGTTTTTATTCTTTTCAGTTTTTGTTTTGTTTATTTAACTGCAATAAACACGCTGAGCAGAGCTATGGCCAAGCCCAGAATTGGTCGAGAGAGCGCAGTAGGGCTGCAATTGCAGGGTATCAGACCCAGTTTAGAGGTGCAAACACAAGCCTCCACCTGCATGCCCGTCGCCTGGGTTTCACGGTAGCAGCCATTGCTGTTGTTCACCTTGGCACACATATACGTTATATTTTGTACTGTTCAATGAAAGTGAGTGGAGAAATTTATGAATATTTTTTTTTAATATTCGCAAGCGAAATAAATGTGTAATTTATGTATAAAATAATTAAAAATATATATATATTTAAAATAAAAGAGGAATTTATTAGAAAATACTCCGGACAATGCATTCCTTTATAAAACTCTTAGAAAATGTAAAAAATTTGAAAAAAAAAAAAATTATAAAATTCGGTTATAACGACTCAGCTTATAGCGTCTGAACGGTTATAGCGACAAAAATTCTGGTCCCCAGACAAACCTAAACGGCTATAGCATCTTCCGGGTATAACGACGGCCCCTTGAGTGTCGATATAACCGGATTCTACTGTATATGTATATCGGAAAAGTAATTTTTCAATATATAATTGAGCATTTGCACTTTTTTAGTTTCAATTGGTTATTTCATATTATATGTTCATTTGAAGTTGAAAAATAATAAATACGGAAAATTAATGTTACTCATGTTACTAATGTTAAAACTTATCGAGTGCTAGTCATTAATTCGGCCAATCTATTCGTTTCTAAAAGCCTAGCAAATTGAAAGATACTATAAATAAAATAAAAAAATAAATAAGTAAGTATAGAAATAAAATTTATGACTTATTGAGTGCTTGTTAATTATTTAAAAAAAAGTTTCTGCTCATATATTCTAAAAATCTATCTAACGTTTTTTTTACTTTACTTTTTTTACTTTAAGTGTTACTCTTGCAGCAGGAAAATATCTCAATAAAATTAGTTTATTATTCCGCATAAACACACTCAATACATACTAAGAAAACACCATTATATCCCTCACTGAACTGTTTATTTAGCTGCAGAGGTGTGGAGACGTATATAAAAGTATGTGCAAGTATAAGAGAGTACTTACTGCCACCCTTGAATATATAGGAGTACTTGACGCAGGAGTAGCCGGGCGACATCTGGCACAGATAATGCTCGCGATTCAATGTCTCGTTCTTCCACAGCGCCTTCACATCCGGCACAGTGTCGTTGGCTGAAGTGAGTTTTGCACGGCTATGGGTTGATATACTTGAAATTCGATTGATAGATACATACGAGTGACGACGAGGGGCATTTCGCAGGGTATCTCATTGAAGTCACCCACTCTGGCGTCGCAGCTTTCCTTGGCTATGTTCGATTTGTTGTCGTAGGGTCCTATCCAGGTGAAATGAAAACATTGTGGTGCTGCGAATTGAGCATATATGAATCGTACTCATCTAAATTCACATTCATATTCACCAACACTCGGCTTTGAGGCGCCTCAACAGCAGCAACAGTAGCAGCAATTTAAGCAGCTGCAGTGGCATTTTCGATAAGGTTTTTGCTTTGATCTTTTCTTTTTTTTCAACACTTTTTTTTTTTTTTTTTTGATGATTTTCCAAGATAAGATGAATTTGTCTGTTCGCATATAAATTTTATTTTTGGGACAAGCGCTGCTGTTGCCACTGCCGCAGACAAACTGATAATGCGCTATTCAACACAATCGACAACCGATCGACGATCTTATCATTTACCGTCGAGTACTTTTAAGTTTTTTATTGCACCTTAAAGGCGGAGCTTACTTAATGAGTGGTGGTTTTTCGATAATTCCATTAGCTATATATTAATTGGTTTAATTACGCTAGCTGTAAATTAATATATTAGGTTTTCGATTTGATTCATAGGTGATGTGATGTAATTCAAATATTGAAACAGAATAATCCTGCCTATGACGCCACGAACAATATTAGCTGCTCTTTGGTATATTTTGACAATTTTGTGTTCATAAAGACTTCAGAGTCACCTCATAGATCAGATTTATATATACATATAAATAGACTATACATTCACAAAAATAAATTAGGACTAGGACTACTAAGAAATACCGAGCAATAAATAAAACAAACTAAATAATTAAATAAAAAAAAATTTTTTAAATATTTATTTCAGAATTCCGAATATTTACAATATTATATGTAGACCCTCGAAAAAAAAAAAATATATATATATATATATATTTTTTTTTAATTTTTATTTATTTATATACCTATTATTTTCTTTTTTTTTTATAAAACTTTTTACTGTATATTTTTGATTTCATTTGGACAAGAAACGTTAAAACCTCTTGTGGAATAAAATTGAGAATGATTTTTTTATTTACATAAATTAAATTAAATGTAATATATGTACATATAATTATTTCTAATCAGACAAAATGTTTAAAATAATGTTTTATGAATTTAAAATGATTTTTTTTTTTTTAACTTAGTAAGTCAAAGATATCCAAACAATAACTAAAGTTTTATAAAAAAATTCTTGTTCATCTATAGGTACATTTTTATTTAATTGAAATAGATTTTCAAATAAATTTCATTCAAAGCTCAATTTTATCGAGTGCTAGAAGGACTCAACTTCTATTTAAGTACATAAAATTTAGATTAAGAGTCAGGAAGAGTAAGCAGAGGAGTTACTTTGTTGCTAGATAATGAGTATACACAATAAATAGCGAATACAGCAATAAACTCATCAAGATAACTAGCAAATCTATAACTTAAAATCAAAGTACACATTTATTATACAATACAGGCAGTACCTGACAACTTGAAACTTAATTTGTTACTATTTTTGAAATATATATAGTTGACGATGCTTACATCGATCTCCAGTTATGTTATGTTATATATTGTAAATATTCCACATTTCAACAATTTTTGCAGAGAGTGCTCGCTTTTTTTTTCATTACACGTGATATCTGCAATTGAAGCATGCCGAATGATACAAAACTTTTATTGTAATGAAAAATGCCGACGTTTTTAGTATCGTTTGGTCATGTTTCAGTCGTTTTTTTTTTCGATGATGGCAATCAATGAGCGATAAGCGAGCTTATCAATGCTGCTGACAATGTGAAAATAGAAAAAGAAAGTGTCATAAAATTGTAAATGAATTTTAAAATGTTGCTACAGCTCTCAATTCAACAGCAGCGGCACAGAGGCCCCGAGGTTTTTGGGGCCCGGCAGCATTCAAATCAGACCACCGCCCAAATGGCATTTAATTAAATTTGCACAAACGAAACCAGAGCGAGAGTGAGAGAGTGGGAGAGTGGGGTAGAGAGAGAGAGAGAGATGACTGACAAACAATTAAATAACAGCAGTTGCAAAAATTGTTAAACTAAAGTCTGCAAATTGTATTTGTTGTTAATTGTCCGGTTGTCAGAGTAGTCCTCTCTCGCCTTGCACGAAATGAGTTTGAAAACAAATAAAAATGTCAAACGAATGAATAAAAGTTGTCTAATTTAATTTGTTTAGCAACAGCGGCATTTGAACAGCCAGCACACACACACACACTCACACACACACATGAACTTACTGAGAAAACTCACGCATACTCACGTACTCAAAACAGTTGCGCAAATTGAATAAAAGTACAATTTTTCACCATGGCTCTTCACGTATATTTCACGTACTATTTTTTAAATTTAATTTTTAATTGTTCAAAACAATTAAAATTTATTTGGAAATTGTTGTGTCTCTCTCTCTCTCGTTCTCTCTCTGTATAACTTTTTCCACAGCTGCTGACCAGCTACGTGTTTTGAAACTTTGTACGAGTTGATGCTGGCAATGTTAGTTGCATTTAGCTAAAATGCCATTTGCGTTAAGCCACGTTTTCACAGCACACAGATACACATACACACACACACATCCATCAAGGAATCTGACAAGGACTTTTTATTTTTAAATAGCTAGCCTCAGAATCGCTTTTTATACTCACCATTCCCCCAATCGCAACACACATCACGGAGTATCACATCAAAAGCACCTTCAAAGCCGTTGCCATCATCATCCTCAAAGATTGCTCAGCCATCTGCTGCTACTCCACCCACTCTCTCAGGTCCAATGATTGATTATTTTTATTGACACAAATGTCATTAGCCTCAGGCGAAAATACGCAAAGAAATACCCACGGAAATTAGCGTTAGTCAGGCATTTCAAGGTAACACAAAGGAATGTCATCCTCGCCAAATCCCAAGTAATTGAACCGTGCGAAAGGCGACAATAAGCCAAAATTACCTGTGACAAGTCTATACAATGGAGTTCACTTTGAGAAAACCTGCATGATGTGTATATATTTTGAAGAATTTATGTATTTAAAATATGAAATATATAAGATATATACAAAGTATAATAATATAATAATATTCAAAATAGAATATAGATTTACTCTCACACACAGTCTTAGAGTTAGAGGTAGAGGTAAGGTAGAGGTGGAGAGATAAGTTAGAGTTAGAGCTAGAGCTAGAGTTAGAGTTAGAGTTAGAGTTAGAGTTAGAGTTAGAGTTAGAGTTAGAGTTAGAGTTGGAGATAGAGATAGAGGTAGATTTAGGTGTAGGGGTGGAGAGGTAGAGGTAGAGGTAGAGGTAGATTTAGAGTTAGAGATAGAGATAGAGGTAGATTTAGGTGTAGGGGTGGAGAAATAGAGTTAGAGGTAGGGGTGGAGAGCTAGAGGTAGAGGTAGAGGTAGAGGTAGAGGTGGAGGTGGAGGTAGAGGTAGAGGTAGAGGTAGAGGAAGAGGTAGAGGTAGAGGTAGAGGTAGAGGTAGAGGTAGAAGTAGAGGTGGAGCTAGAACTAGAGTTATTTTAAAAACCTTCGATTATTAAATCAAGTCTTGAAACTTCCTTTTGCCCATAAATTGGTTCTTCGCATTTTGCTATTTTCAGATATTTTATCCAATAGGCCATAAAATCTGTTCTGTTTAACGGCCGTAATCTCCATATTTTCTAAGTGCTCCATTTAGGATTCATAGTACTAACAGAATTCCTTCAACGGAAAATCTATTCAGCTCATTAATTATGCAAATGTTTCGTCTTCTTCTTTTTTTTCGGCATGTGCTTTTACTGAGACCCATTTGACTTCACAATACACCAAAAATTATGTCACCAAAATGCAAATGTCGCGGCACAAGTTTGGGACAAGCTAAAAAGGGTGGGGCGCAGAGCGAGCGGGGTAGTTGGGTATGTGATTAGCAGAAGTTCGGGCCCAAAGCAAAAGTTGTTAACAAAACTAACAGCCAGTTGGCATATGAGCAACATAACTAGGCTCGAAACAAATTTTTGCCGGTCTTCCGCCTAATGGCGAGCCTGCATAAAATTTGCATACGATTAAGATTGATAAATGAAGGAGAACGAATAGTGCTCCCAGCCACTGTAATAGGTCTACACTGATGTCTAGGGGCTGGGCTGGGAGCAGACCTTGTCATGACCTACACATCAGTTGTCAATGGCTTTCAATTATGTGCCAGCTTTAGATTGTGTCGACTTTCGTTACTTAGAACGAGCTCAGAGAAGACCTGAACACTGCTGACGATATATACTCTGACTGCTGTAAGTTTTGGTCTCTTATTGAGCAGTAAGTACTCGGCTAGTTGTTCGCAAATTTAATAAAGCCAGCGACATAGATGACAGAACCTGTTGGAACTATTCTATGGAGGCAGCTAAACCGATTTGCTAAATGACAAAGTTGTCGTGTGAGGCGGGTGCGAGGGATGAGGGGGTGGTAAAGCGGGTGGAGCCTCGCCGCCACTCGTCTCTCTAATTACGTGTCGTCGGTGCACGTCCAGAGCCGGGTCATTATGTCACCTGTACGAAAAATGGCGCACGTAAACCGGAAACGAGGCGAGCCAAGTCGACCGGGCTATGCTGTGCACAAGGGCCAAACGGCTCATTGTGCGGAAATCGCATTTGGCGCTGATAGCAGCAGCAGTATCAGCAGCGGCAGCAGCAGTGCCTAACTAACGACCAACTAATACGATTAGTGTCATAATGCCTAGGACTTAAGTATGTCAATAATGTCGCACTTTATTTGCACCACTTGGCGCACGACTCCCCACTCAACCACCCAGAAAAGGCGAATGGCTGGCAGCTGCTCAAATCTGCTCTTTGTGGCAGCCCGAGTATTTGTTAAACAAATTTTGTTTGATAAACAGTTTTAGTTAATATTAATCTCTAAATAATCCAAATAAGTAAATAATAAATACTTTTTAGTAAATGCTTAATTTTAATTGACTATGCAATTCTTACAATGCTGGAAATATTTTCTTTCTTTTTTTTTTTTTAAGTAATTGATTCTGAATTCTGGAAATATTTTTCCGTTTTTTCTAATGCAAACATTCCGAATTATTCAATAATTTTAATCAAACTTGATCTCGTCATGAAGAATCTCAAATTTCATGCCATGTTCGTGCTTCTCGAGCTCACTGATCAGGTCTGTCCTGGCGAAGGCCATGGCAGGTGTCAGTACGCCACCAGTGCCAGGCATTTTGTGGCTTTGCCTGAGTAGGGTGACCGCTGCAGCGAGTAGGCCCACACAGGTGCTGCCATAGGCAGGATTCGGGCCAGAGACACTAAACATTTGGGTCTTGCAGGGCAGCTCGTTGTCCGGATTGGTGCAGTCGCTGGGCCAGCCCGTCGCTTTCAGTATCAGCTTGAAATAGCTGCGCTCCATGTAAGCTTCGGTTGGTCCATTGCGCGATACGTAGCCGGCCGAGAAGAATTCCGGATACTTGAGTAGCAGCTTCCTGCCCAACTTGAACTTGGTAAGGATCATGAAAATAATGCCAAAGAGGGCAACGGCAATGGCAATTAGCCAGGAGGGGAAACCAATGTAGGAGAAGAATTGAACGGGTCGTTTCCTTTGATAGTCGTAGAAATATTCTTGCGAGCGCCTGACCACCGAACGATCCGCGCCTATATATGGTAGACACACCTGATTAGTCTCCGGTGAGCGGAAGATTAAGGGACGAGGTCTCATAATTGGGTAGAACGGGGGCAGGGGCTCGACGAAGTTGTGCTCCCGCAGAGCCTTCAGCTGATCGGAATGCGCCAAGCTGTTCACAGCGCTCACCCAGGTGCCATAGTTGAGGCCAGCTCTACCGGCATTCGTGTTGCCCTTGCACCCCCTAAGGCCGTGCACGAAAAATGTCTCCACCGAATTGATCGTGCCATCGAAATGCTGCTCGGCGAATACGACGCCCATGTCCGCTGGAATGGAATTACAGCCACAAGCACTTATCACGTATATATCGCAGAGTTTGGCAAAGTCGTGGTACTTCAGCTGCATCGACTCGATGTACTGCGGCTCCCCGCTGACGTCTACCAGATGAGCACCGCCCGCGAGGCAGCCACGAATCACCGCCTCGCCATAGAGCCGGAACGGGCCCACCGTATTGACAACGATGCGAGCGGACATGGCCATTCGCAGCACTGAATTGTCATCGCTAACATCGGCAATGATGATGGGTATCTGCGATAGGTCCTGCCCGGCCTTGATGCCCATTTCGTCAAGCACCTCCTCCAGCTTCTCGCGATTGCGCCCGGCGATGCCCCAGCGCAGACCTTCCAGCACGGAGATCGCCTCGTATACGGTGTGTTTGCCAGTGAATCCGCTGGCACCAAATATCACGACATCGAGCCGTCCACTGCGCACTTCTTCAGCCATTGAGCAATGGAATGTATTATGAGTGAATGAGTAATATGAGTAGTATGTGTTCTAAACAATGTTGTAGACGAAAATGTGATTGGACTTGTATTGTTGTGTACCCTGTTTTATATGTTTTTTTGAGGCTAATTTACAATTGACAGTGAAGTACATTTCAGAGCTATATTGATTCGGTTTACATTCAAAGATTTTTGAGAGCGCAAAGGATAAATTTATTATAGGCGTAAAAGTTCGAGATCTCCTTTGGTTTTAGTACTAAGTACAACTAGCTTAACAATTTAAAAATATAATTAAATTAAAACTAAAATTAAAAAAAAAAAATTATTAAATCTTAGAACAATTTCCATTTATTGATTAGGTAAGCCTAAAGCAATGGGGTACCGGTCTAATATATATTTAAGGTTATTTTAATTTTACATATTAAAAAAGATCCTTTATTGCCAATAGTGTAAATATCTCAGTAAAATAGCCATAGCTAACCTCTGTTAAAGAATTAATTTATCGCAAAATCTTTATATGATTATTAAAATAAGATTCAAAGGAAATAAAACTCAATAAAATAAAAATAAATATTGCTATAACAAAACTCTTATCAATAGCCATTTCAAATGAATAGGAAAATATATATTTAAAGATATTATTTTTCAGTTTAGGAATCTTGGATATAGACATTTCGAATTTGTTTGATTTTTTTATATTAATTACGATATCAAAGTAGTACAGAAAGATCTCTACTAATAATTACATATATCGACTATATTGAATTCTTAATTTATATACATATAATAAATAATCATTTAATACATTTATAATATAATAAAACATAGTGGGCATACATCTATGAATATACAATAAATAATATATACACATTTGTAGCAATAGTTCGTAGATAATTATACTTTTTTTTTTTTTGCATCCCTTGAACTTAGTTAATCCACACTTATACAGTTTCAGCTTGATTGCTCACAACAAGAAAACATGAATAAATAAAACATCGGCAAATAAAGAAAATTTGTTTTATATTTAAACGTATTTAGATTTTTGGACAACATTTTTACTCATTTAAAAGACTAAATTAATATGCGGCTCATACTTAAAATATCACATGGATTATTCAATGCAGCACCTGATGTACGGCTTAGCTGCATTCATAGCCATCATTAGCTCGCAGTAGGAGAAGCGCTGATACCTGTAGTAGCCAGGATTCTTGTAGCACTCACTTTTGCCATCGTTGCCGCAGTGTTTATCTTTCTTTCGTAATTCCTGAAAGCTTTTGGTCACATACGGCAGGGCCTGGACGGCATTCGTTATAAGGTAGGAGGGGTCATAGCTAATGGGCGAATCGCGCTGGTTTCTCGACTTTGATCCTTTGCGGCCTGTCCTCTTGGTGGGTGAATCCTTGGGCTTGGATGACTCGTGTGATAATGGACACGGAGTTTGGCCGGTGCATTGCCGTAGAACCGTGCTCGACATTAATCCACTGTGTGTGAACATTTTGTCTTAGTTTTTAGGAATTTTAAAATTTCAAATATTAAAAAGAAAAAAAATTTACACAAATTTAAAATCGAATTTTGATATACCACGATGTTGAATATTCTGAGTACTATGATTTGATTTGACAACAGATGAAGTCAAGTTTATTTGACATTTATGTAAGAGTATAAATTGATTGAGCAGTTCTTATAGAGTTTTTGGTATATCGACTTAAGTTTGTTCTTAAGCTGAGATCGTTTGATGTTGAGTAATAGATTTCGCCATTCGTAATTGAGGCTGCTACCTTTAAGCCTTTACGATCGTTTCAATTTACTGTTTGCTATTTCAAGCTATTCCTATTAAGCAGTTGTCCAATATTTAATCCCAATCGCTATCTAGTTAGCTCTTTAGGCTTGATTCGTCGCAGCGTTTGCAACTTCAACCCGACGGAACCCACAAACTGATTGCGGCAAACTTTCAGCAATTTCTTTACAAAATCACACACACACACACACACATATATACACATATACACACAACAAAGTTCTGCAAATTATGGCGGAAAATTACCTTAACGAAAGAGCTTCCGCAACTGTATAACCTTTGTGGCACAACTGTACCAGGTCAGTTATGTGGCATGGGCACACACTTGCCTGCGAAAATTGTGGAGCTGCTGAGGGGGCGGATGGCGGCGGGGAGCAGGGGGCAGGATTTTGTATTTGCTGCGCTGCCAGCAGTATAACCCAAAACAAAAGCAATTAGATGACATCGGCGACGTTGCCATTTGTTTGGCTCTGATTCGGATTGTGCGGGTGTAGCACGTAGAGAGTGCGGGAGCAAGAGTGAGAGAGACATAGAGTGAGTGAAAGAGAGAGGGCGAGGGAGTGAGCAAGTGGAGCAAGGAAGAGACACACTAAAAAGTTTACCAGCGCGATTTTCTTGCTGAAACTATAAATTTACAAGCCGCAATGGCGACGCCGCCATCGCCGCCAACGTACCGTTATGTGCGCCATCTTTTTTGGGTTTGAGTGTGAATTTCTGTCTCTGCGTGTGTATGCCTGTGTGTGTGTGTGTGTGAGAGAGTGTATTAAAAAGCATTCAAGTGAACCTGTGCCGTGTTTCGTGTCTCGTGTCTCGGCTAGCTGTGAGCTGACAATTTTCCGGTGCTTCAACGTTTATTTTGTTGTTGTTGTTATTGCTGAGGATTTTTATTGCTATGTTTGTTGTTGTTAGTTTTAAAAACTTTATTTTGGCAAGAATGGGCGGAACGGGTGCGCAGCTGGCTGATTGTCGAGGTTTAACGTTTCGGGTGTTGAGCATTTATCTCAACGCCCTCAAAGTTGTACAACTGGGTTCCCGACAATAACGACAACAATAACAACAACAATAACAACAACAATACGATTTTAAGTGCAAATAAGTTTAATGATCAAAATAATTCAACGTGTGTTAGTGTTTTGGCTTAAGCTTGTTTATGTCTGACTTCAAACTGGGTCGAACTTAACTTTATAACCGGCTTAACTCGTGGCATATCGTTTCTTATATAGGCATACCAACGTTTTATACCCATTTAGTTATGTGGAACTAAAGATATGGCTGAAGTTAAGAAAGGCAAAGATAACATGTTAAAAAGTATTTAAATGACTTTGCATTGCTCAATTGTCGGAAAGAAAAGTGAAATAATATTTATATGATATGATATTTTGATTATAAATTGTTTTACATCAGATGAAAGCAAGCATGTATGGAAAGTAAGTTATGATATAGAACTTTTTTTTGCTCACTACAAAGACATCAATCGGCTATAGTCCTATTGGATTTCCCATGCTTAACCAGAGGGAACTGAGAAGAGCTCAAGTTCCCCACGTATGGCTGGCATAATATGGTATATATGGAACCGAAATTCTTGCGCGTGAAGCTCTATAACTATTTGAATGTGAATATACCATATGTAATATCTTGCATATAGCTGCAAAATAAAGCTAGGCCCAGTTTAATATTGCAAGCTGTTCTCATTCATATTTTTCAAATTCAAAGCATGCTATGCCTGTTTTTAAAATCCTTTTTTTTTTTTTTTGCAACTAAATCAAAAATAAAATAATAAAATTTATTTGCCTGTAATTTTTAGAATGCCGACATGTGAACTAAAGCCAATTTCTCGTCAACTATTACTGTGCAAGGACGCTCAGATTCGAAATCGAATCCAATTATGTATCCTGCGCCATTATGCCAAGTGTAAATGCGACTGCGAGAAGACGGGCATTTGCAAATGCAGCGCGGACTGCGAGTGCCGGCTACGGAGGAAGAAGGTCAGCCGGTTGGGGCCAAAGAAAATTTGTTGTCGCGATCCGCCGCCAAGCTATGCGCCCAAATGCCTGGAAACGAAAGCATTTGAAATACCGGAATTTATAAGTCCTAAAGCATTTCGGCCCATGAAGCCGGACGAACAGCTAGGTCCGCGGGCGGGCAAGTCGAAAGAGTATAAGAATCCAGAGTTTTTCAGCTATCATAACTTTTCGTACTATGATCTAAAAATGGCCGCAGGAAAGGCAACGGATTTGTTCGAGGGAAAGAAACCTTAGGCTTTTATATACTAGTTAAGGTTTTACTCCAGACGGACGGATGAGCATGATATCTCATGTACATATATGCAAACTCCGGTGTAGCAATTATTTTAATCTAGCTAAATAACATTGTGACAGTCGGAAAGAATTATTTATTAACTAGGTAGAATTTTATAAAAACTAATGGACAATAAAACATTAAAAATTTATTGTTGTTGCAAAAAAACAAAAACAAAAGTTTTTATTTATTACAAAGAACAAGAAAAAGGGAAAAACTAAGTGAGAAAAATAATTATAAATAAGCAAAAATTGTCAATTTAGGATTATTAAAAAAAAAGTACAACATCTGTTAATTATGAAATAGATTAGCTTAAAGAAATGTTAAGCTCATAAAATTCTATATATAATTGCTAATTAGATTGATATCTAACAGCAGTCAGCTACTCCGTCTCTCTCACTCCTATTCTCTTTATCTATTTATGCTCATTCTTTCCCTCTGTGCGCATAATACTTAATTTAATTAACTTGCCGCAGCTCCAGAAACTCTCTGCTTAGTTCAAGTTTCACTTCGCAGAAGAAGAACAAAATAAATATCCAATCAAGTTGTTATATCAAATCCAATGTTGATATGAATGAAAGTTTAGAAAGTCTTGCTCGAAATTTCTTAGGATTTGCGATGACTTTCACTGTTTTCTTGCTGAGCCGCAAAGCTTCGGCTGGCATTGCAGTTGCTGCAGATGTTTTATGCAAATGCAGACGCGTTTTTGGCTTAACATCGTGAACTTTGCATTGCCATTGTCGTTTTCGGCAAGTTTTGTGCCAGATTTCGCGCTTTGCCGTGCGATTGCGGCAACGCCAGCGATAACAACAATAATAACAACAAACGGCACAACAACAACAACAACAACAATAAGAGAAGCACCAACAACAATGGAAAAGTCGAGGACGCGTACTTATTTCGCTGGTTGCTTAATTAAAATGCGCAGTCGGTGCGAGCGCTTCATTTGGCTCGCTTAATCGCCCAGCCACAGAGAGATTCGCATCAGTCGTCCAAGCCAACCAGCCGCCCGTCCGCCCGTCCGCCCGCCTGTGCCACCCAGAGGCCTCGCCCACCATTCGTTTGCATGTAAAGTGTCAAGTTTTTCATTATAATTTGCATATTTTTCGCCAGCGCGTTAACTTTTCGCCTACTCACCACGTGCCACGCCCCCATGCCAGAGCCATGTAAATGACAACAATAAGCATTATGGCATGTGCCTGACTAGTTACAAGGACCTAGGACCTAGGATCTAGGACTAGCCAGCCAGCCAGCCAGCCTAGCGCTCTTCGACTATATCTGCCCAGATGCACACACACACACACACACTCACTGACACACACACACACACAGAGCATGCACATTTTAAGTTATTTTCAAGTTTAATTTTTTGACTTTGTTGTGTTTGGGGTTTTTGTTTTCGCCTCGGACACCCCAACGCCCAGCTGCTTGAGACAGAGCCCAGCAACGCAGCAGCCGAACTTCAGGGTCTTCAGGATCCGGAGCCGCTGAGCCGCGGCGCATAATCACGCGAAATCTGAAAACGTGTCTTGTATAGTAATGAGCACTGATTATAACTTGAAATTGTGTGTGAAAGTACAGTTGTGTGCGCAAGTTATGCTACGTGGCATACTACATAAAAAAAGAAGAAAGTTTGGTTCGTTCTCAACTTTTGACGCACCAAAACGAAACGAAACGAAAACAAAACAAAATATTTACGAAATTTGACTTATCATAATGCATAAGAGTTAAGCTTCGTCTTCTTTGTTAAAAAATATTGTAAGAATTTATGTAAAATCAACAACTCTTAGGTAAACTGTATAAGAGAATTCGAAGAATTATTTGCAATTGTTTTAATTGTGAAGTATTTTTGCATATCTTGAGATTAAAAATAACTTTGGCAGTATTTTTATATGGACAGTTATACAGAGATCAGATTTATATATTATACTAACGAATTTTTAAGGATGTGAATAATGCGTTTGGTACTTCAATTATTATTATTATTTTTTTTTTTAAATAAATAAATAAAACTAATGTGTTTGTCATATATAAATATCTTATATTTTATATCAGATATATCAGGGGTATAAAACTTACTTAGGAGTAAAGAAAATATATAAATATAAATATATAGCAGGTAAATGATTGGCAAATTAGTTTTGGAAAAAGAAGAGGAAAAAATTATATATGATATATAATATACGTATACAAAAATTTGATTAGCTTATAATTTAAAAAGTTTGCAGTCTTTTAATAAGTATCAGCTATTTAGCCACTAAAACTAAGCAAGATTTAGCATATATATATAATTTAAGAGCATGTGAATTCGAAGAATATTTAATTTAAAACCAAATCAATCTAAAATCTGTTTTAGTAAGTGAAGCGAAAGGGTATAGTTATTCATTAGTGTTATACGCTTCTTATAAGAGTTATTTTCAATATTGTAAGAAAATCACATATTTATGTTTTAATCAATTCAATCTATATTTTGTTATAGGTAAAGCTAAAAAGGTATATTTGTATATAAGTCATATACGGCTCGTATATGTTCGAATATGATTTCTTAATGACACCAAATTTGCATATACTTAATATTAAATAACAATTCAATAGAATAGTTAAAGCTTATATTTAATGAGTACAATACTAATATAAAAAAAAAAAAATAAAAATAAAAATAAATAAACAAAAAAACTCAAATCTCAGATGAAGACATTATTATGAATTGGCGTATTTTATTTCGCGGCATGCTTTTGTAGCCCACTGTAGATGGGCTGCTGTCACACCTTGTAATGCTATTTGATGTGTATTTAAACTTAAAATGATGTCTTCTTAATCAACTATGAAGTCAGAGTCCAGGCATGCGGCCGACGCGTCGATGAGTTTTTCCACAGTTCCTCCATCCGCTCCGCCCCTTCGTCCACCGTTATGGCGCCGAGAGCGTCGTGTATTGTGCCAACATGCATGCCACGTTCGCCCACCGAACGTCGAACGTGCCAGGCCAGCCTGAAGCGGGTGAATGTGTGTGAGTGTGAGTGTTAAGAGCCTGAAGGATATTATATAATGTGAAGTAATTTGAATATGAAGTGTGTGGCAGGGTACGCGGCTTATAAGTCTTATACGTGTGTCATGTGCTGCCTTTCGATATTCCTTTTGCTTCTCTTCTTTTTGGCTTTTGTCTTGGAAACATCAAAAACTGTCACCCATACAGCTGTAAGTCTCTCTGTCTGTGTGTGTGTGTGCGTGTGATGGCGGATTAATGAGATTTTCTTTTATGGATTTATGATGATTATTTCTATTATTAGTTAAGAGCGTGACAGCCGAAAGTCGACAGTCAATTTTCGTAGCGGCCATTTTGATGGCATTTTAAAGTAATCCATTGATGTATGACCAGTCTGCGTGGCTGCTATTCCTGCTGCTGCTGCGCCCAAGAGCTTTGCCAGTTTCTCATTTTTCAACCGCACTAAATCACAAAAATTGCACAACCCGCGCACCATTAGCCTTTGCTTATTTATGGAAACGCGACATTCAATGACAATTCAATATATTTTACATGCCCAGCTCTCTGTGAAAGTTAAAAAAAAAGAATGACAGCAACAGAATATTGAATGGTATCTATCTTTCTAGTGCCCAACGGTCAAGTAATATACCCTGCAATCTAACTTATAGAGTACCCAAATCTCAGTCATCTACATTCATGGATGTACCTATAAGTATCTATGTCTTGTTATATTATTAATAAAAAAATTTGGTACGATATGATAATTCCAGTTTAATAATATATTTATTCATTCTTTCAATTCAGCCAGGAGGATAATTTCGAGAAAAATTTTGTATGGAGATTAATATAATTAATGATATCAATACAAAGACTTTTAGTTTTCATAATATCAGAAATGGAAGGAATACTGTTTAATTTTATTACACATACATTTTTGCTAGGGCATGTCCTAGTTCATCACTTTCAACTGGCAGCATTTTCTTGATTGTGATTTTTATTTTTATTTTTATTTTTTGTGGTCGCCCACCATTTGGTTTGGCCCGAAAACAAATTCCGCAATCGTCGCACACAATAAACCATTACAGACGATTAATTTCATTATCCGCGGGTATCGAAATCAGAGAGAAACGAGAGATTCGATTTATGCCTGCGGCCACAGCAGCAACAGCTCCAAATGCAATTGTCATAATTTTGTTCTTCCTTTCCATTTTTATATATATTTTTTCTTTATGTCCAGAACTGTTTTCTAGTCTGCCATCAATTGCACGCATCAGAAGCTTACGCAGATTTTTGTGTAGGTTTCTTTGTAAGATATTTCGTTATATAAATAGAATTTGTCCTCGGACAGCTGCTATGCTAATATTGGTTTGGACAAGTGGAGGATTTTCTTTTTAAGTGATTAACGAAGCTTAAAATTTAAAAATTGTTTAATAGGTATATTATATTTTATAAACTTAAAAAAAAAAAAAAAACACAAAATTTCAAATAAGAATCAGAGAAAAAAAAAATAAATAAAAACAATAATAAACTTAAAAACCTTCTTTATATTAATCTAAATGCATTTTTAATGTAAGAAAACTTTTAAATATTATATGTTATTTGTTACATATGTATTTATTCGAAATCTATAAAAAAGCTAATTAAATCTTTAAATTAATAATTTAAGCACACAACATTTATTTAATTTTTCATTTATTTCAATACATTTTTAACTTAATAAATAATTTCTATTTTATTTATATTATTTATTTTATATTTTATTGAAATCTATGAAATGTTTAAATTAATAATTTGAGCATACAATATTTATCTTTCAATTATCCTTATGCATTTTAAACGTAAGAATTTTTTTTTTTTTTTTAATTTATTCATTTTATTTATTTTATATTTTTAGAAATCTATGAAAACCCCAAATTAAATCTTTAAATTAATAATTTAAGCACACAACAAACAATTCAAATCTTCATTTATCTTAATGCATTTTTAACGAAAGAAATCTTTTTTATAAGACATTATTTATTATTTGTTATATTAGATTTCTATTTACTTTCACTCAAGATTATTTTGTGCCCTCTTTATGTTCGTTTCTTTTGACACATGAATTATGATTCATTTAAAGGTTTATCTATTTTAATGGCTTTCATTTGCTTTGTTTGCATTTGACTGCT